CCTGAAATTTTTTATCATTATAATCTCTTCTTTATTTAAAGACTAGAGATTTTTAAGTTCAAGAGATTGATCTAGGAAGTTCATCGTTGCTATTAATCACATTACTATGTGCATCAGCATTAGGATAATCTAACCCACTGAGAGGTTGGCTAAATAGCCTGTCAGCCTGGTGTACTAAAAATAAAGTACTATATATTATGCTAATGGTGACACTTATATTGAAATTATAAATTATATCATTTCCCAGGTTTATTGGTATAGTTGTAACCTCTATCATCTTAAGTAAGCAATTTAATAAACCTGAGGAAAGAATCAACGTTTCAAAGATAAGTGAATTTCTATACTCAGTACGTTTTTTTGTGTCCTTATTATCCTGGTACTCTTTATATGAATAATAAAACCCTATGGGTCCTGCAACAAATACAGACAAGATTGTTGATGCTAAGTCAACATGATAAACTGCACTTTTATTGCAGCCAACGAGGAAATGGATTATTTTTATTTGAATCAGTATTTGTGTAGCATCACTTACCAAGCCAGCTGATTTGCCCACAATTTTTGCTGTTTCTTTTTTACCTTTAGATTTATTATAGCTGTCTATTAAGTTCTGTAAGGTAAACATGGAATGTATAACCCATAATATAGATACAGGTAGCCTTATAAATCGAGCAGCGTTCTTTATGATTTCAATATTGGATTTATTATTATCAATAAGCTTACAGCTAAATTGCAGTGAGATTCGACATATTATCACTGTAAGAGTGGTTGATACCCAGATAATTCTGCTGATTTTATGATTGTAGGTATAACTAATTTTTTGTTGCAATAACATAAACATCACCAACGAAATGACTGTATTGTATCAAAAAGAACCAAAAAATCTTTATAAAATCCTAATTTTGTATGGTTTTGTTGCATAGCTAATATACTTTAAGGTGATAATAAAGATAGAAAGGCCCTTTAAATATGGGCTACAGACACATTACTCAAACTTCCAGGAGATTCAAAAAGCTTAACTTGAAAATTGATGACCATAGAACCGATAATACCAACTATGGATTAATCAACGCAGTAAAACTTAGAAATACAGGGCTTTTTTCGCTTCATGCAGTACGAAATTAGTATTGCAAAAATATGCACAAAAAATTTATTGGTGACCTATGTCGTGTGTGTTCAATTTCAAATTTGTTTTTCAGGTAGTCGAAACCCGTTTTAATAATCGATCTTTTTTTCAGTGGAATTAGTACATTTTTCATACCTTTTTTTACTTTGGCAACGAATTTCAGGCCTCTATTGAAGAGTTTTTGGAACAGTTCTTTCTTTATATACCTCATGATTATTTTTAATTCTTTTTACAAGATACATGTTATAAAAGAGAATTAGCTTATAAATTTAAATACAATGAGCAACAAGTTCAAGAATCTTTATGTTTTAGGGGATAGTTTATCCGACATAGGAGCATTTACTGGTGTTTTAAGCAACCTGTCTTGTGCATCAGGTGTTAAATTCGATGCACCATTTTACAAGAACAGATCATTTAGTAATGGTCCCGTTGCTGTGGAATATGTAGCACAATACCTTAACTTGAAAGAATTTAAACCAGGATGGAGCTATTCATTTTTTAACAAAGAGTATGAACAACAGGGCCAGAATTATGCAGTTTCATATGCTACAGCAGCAAAATGTTCCTCTTTTCTTTATTCTTATTTTTTCAACAAATTTTGCTTAGCGAATCAATTAGATGCATTAATTAAGCACAATAGCGATATAGGAGAGGAAGATTTGGTGCTGATTACGATAGGCGGAAATGATGTTATGTTGGCATATACATGCGAAAATAATCAAACTCAAGAGGCAATACTTAACCAAGCTACAAATGAAATATGCAATGTGCTGAAAGTTCTCAGTCAGCATGATGTGAAGCATGTAGTTGTTACAAATGCACCTAACATTGGACTGATACCAGCTTTCAATAAAAATAAAGAGGCAAGTAAGTTAGCAATGGAACTAACTAACAGTTTCAATGAAAAGTTGGCTAACGGTTTAGAAAAAATCAAAAAGGATTATCCTAATTTGAAAGTAAAACAGTTAGATCTTTACTCTAAAACGAATGACTTGATTGATGAGTATAAAAATAATGGCTTAAATTACCAAGATGCTTGCATATCAGATGTTGCTGATGGAATTAATGGATTCACAGATATTGTAAGTACATTATTTGACTTAATTGTCAAAGGAAAGCTTGAGTCGCACTATAATCCTGGGTGTAGCAAGGAGGTGATGGAAAATTATTTCTTTTTTGATTTCTTCCATCCTACTGAAGAACCTCATAAACAACTTGGTAATGATATATGTGAATTAATTAAAGTTTAAATAAGCTACAGCCCTATGTAAGCCCTTTATCATAGCCTTGGTCATATTGTGTTTTAATTCAAAGAACACTTGCCTGATCATCCACAGGTTTTCTTGTGGTTAAAAATATCATGCTGGACTATTAAAGAAGAGGCTATACTCCAGAGAATTGATGCTTTTTTATTTACATTTTTCCATTACTTTGTTTTCAATTTTTCTAAATTTGATTCATATGAGTTATCACAAGTTATTA